AAATGCGGTCTGGTGTGAATTAGGTATTAGAAAAACAATTTCCTTATCGTGCCAACGTTTCGATCTTTATTGAGATCATCGTCAGGGCTCAAAATGTTTGTATTGCACAATATCTCACTGGCACTCTCAAAACGACACACAAGAAAGGCACAATTACGCAGAAAACAAACACTTTAGGCCCTGAAGACGATCTCAATAAAGACCGAAACGTTGGTACGATAAAGAAAATGTTTTTCTAAAGCCTACTTCACACCAGACCGCATCTCACGATTTCTAAATAAATATCGATTAACGGTCACTAATCACCACACATTACTATTATTAAAACCTTTTTGCAAATTCTCAATAGATGTTGTATTATTTAAAATATTGAAATGAATTCGTATTTTTGAGAAATAACATTTATTTTTTTTAATTATTAAAACAAACTCTTTGACTTTCTGGATTCAATTTTTTTATAACATTCAAAAAGTAAATACCTTCTGAAAACTATATTTGCATTAAACTTAGTTTACAATATTTATGAATGAAGTGCTTGGAATAAAAAATATCTTTTATAAACGAGGTGCTTTTAGCTTTGAAACTAAAGCCTCAGGGATATACATTATTTTTGGCAATAAAAAGTTCATAAAATTCTTTTGAAAATTACAAAATACCTGTTTTATTTATTTACATATTTTGCTCTGTCTGTCTCATATAAAAAAACATCGGCGGTTACCAATTCACTTTCCATACAGGCAAATCTTTCACTTGATCACTTAATTCAATCTGAATGCAATGCATCTGTCATAAGCTTAGCATATTTATTCAACCTGGCTTCGTGCTGAAATGATAATTTTTGTTATGCCATAATTTTTATGTATTTTTTTAATAAAATATAGAACCTGTAATTCAGCTGAATCGTAGAGCGTGTTTGATAGATATATAACGTATTTATTTTTTAAATTTTATAACATTTAAGTAATACAAAAATTAAAGCAAATATATATATATTCAAACCTATTTATATATTTCGAAAATATACCAAACCTTCTTTCTGGCAATGTTAAAAACCTTGTTTTCATACATCCATTATATTTCGCGGTCCGAGTGACCAAATAACTTCTTTCAATAATTAATTTTTATGTAAGGTATTGGTTGAAATAAAAATTCGAATCCCGCTCCTGACACTGGCTTGTTTTCATAATTGAAGTTGATTGTTTTAGTAAAGGCAAGCTTGCAACATATGACAGTTGAACTTCCACGTCTTTTCCTCACTGAAGACGGCGTTAAGCTCAATCGGGTTTGATTAATACAAAACGCGTGAGGGTAAGCGGTTCAACAAGTGTTCACCGACTCGCAAGACCGAATTTTGAATCATATTTCAAAATACTGACGAGATGTGATAAAAACCCACATTTTATTCCTCAATGAATTTGTACAAACAAAATTATTTCGGCACAAACTTCCCAAAACGTGTCAAACATTTCAAACATGCATGATTTTTATGATAATTTAAATAACAGCTTACACAAATCTACAACTTATTTTAAACTTGTTTTAATTAACCTGTAATTGACTAATACAAAACTAATAACAAGGTAATCGGAAATAAAAAACGTAATTCCTGTCATAATGGAACTTAACGCCCAAAACTCATTAGGAGTCGTGCACGAAGGTCAAATCACAGAAAAAAATAAGCTTTATATATTATTATGAATTAAAATTCCGTGATCAGTGTCGGGGGTCGAACTCGGAACCTCTAAACACTCCCAAATTTATTTCGGCACAACATTCACAAAATCTGCTGTCAAACATTCCAATTGTTCACGATATACTATTATTTATAGTATATTTCATAATGTGATATAGACAACTATGTTTTGCAATAGCTAACTCAAAGATAGGCTGCACCTTCCTTAACATGGACCATATTTTATTTATATGTACAATAAGATAGAGATTTTAAATTAATTTGTCATCAATAAAAAAGATTAATGTTATATGTTCACCTTGTTAACATTTTACATACATTTTTCGTGCAATTACTTTATGAAAACGTGTTATTGTTAAAATTGTTTTACATATTATTTTGAAAAACGATTCCTCACAAAAAAATTACTGATGTGTATGTTACGGAAAGTTTTATTGAAATCTTTATTATAGGTCGTTGAAAACTTTCAAATTGTGCTTACTGACAATGCAATTTTGAGATTTAAAATCAAAACTATAAAACAATCTAGGCTAACTTTTAACATTTCCTGGTTTAAATTTTTACGGTCGCCTTAACGGATTACAGGACGACCTGTCCAACTAATTTAATTCCCATTTTAATTAGCAGATTATATTAATAAGACAATTTGTAACGGCGGAGAGACCTGGACGACGACGGGTCGATTAATCAAGTAACTAATGCGCTATTAACATCTTAAACAGCCAGACGCAACGTCTGAACGTCTGGGCCTTTTGTTATAAATCTTTCCCAGTTGTCAAATGCACTTACCGCCCCCGGGCCTGTTCGAATTGTGTGGTCTACCTCTTTGTAAATAAGGTACACAATTTGAATTGTATGTTATGGTTTGTTTCGTGCCGATAAGACTCAACGAGGTGACTAGCTTGCCAAGGCGATCAGTTGCAGTTTTTTGGGGTTGTATGAAACCACAAAATCAATAATTATTCAAAAACACTCTCTCGTTCTGTCTGCCTACATATATCCTTATATATTCTTCTTCTTTTAATCTCTCTTTTATTTCTCTTTCTCTCTCTCTCACTCTCTCTCTCTCTTTCTCTTTCTCACTCTCTCTCTCTCTCTCTCTCTCTCTCTCTCTCTCTCTCTTCCTCTCTCTCGTTTTATCTCGCACTTAAATTCAATAATAAAATATTTGAAACAATTTTTTTAATGAATTACTTAGTGTTTTCAAGAATAATCANCTCTCTCTCTCTCTCTCTCTCTCTCTCTCTCTCTCTCTCTCTCTCTCTCTCTCTCTCCCTCCCTCCCTCCCTCCCTCCCTTCGTCTATCTCTCTCTCACTCACTCACTCACTCTCTCTCTCTCCTTCTCTCTCACTCTGAATTCCTCTCTCTTTCTATCTATCTATTTATCTATTTAGTCTAGCTACATATCATATATTTAGCTAATCTATCTCATCTATATACTCATATATACTATATACTTATATATACATCTATATATCTCTAATTTATCTGTATATTTCTTTCTATCACTTTTCCAGTTTTTTCTCATTTTTCTTTTTTCAATCAAATTTTAGTAGTAGATATGAAAGGAACAAAGATTTAGTTGATACTATAAATGATTTTGATTTTTTTGTAATATAAAAATATTAACGTTTTGGGATAAGACGTAGACGTAGATTTTCAAGAAATTTAATAGCTACACATATAATAATTTGATTTTTAAAGTACATACAAACGCATAAATGAGGGAAAAACTACTGATCCTGTTGAGATTAGTTGAGTAAAGACTCCATTTGTTGTCTTCGAGTTTCAGTGTGTTTAATGATATTTACGTCAGTTATGTAAAACAAACAAAAAAAGTTTGAAATATACCCAAGATTATCGTTATTTACCAAAATAGTGTATTAAAGCCTATTTGTTTGGAATTCTTAAGAAAGTTTATGCCTGACATGTCATAATTGATTGTCGGAGTGCGGTCGTCTAAAAATTTATGTTTATGCTGTTTATCGATCGATTGATTAATGCGATGGGTCAACTAATAAGTGCCCATCCGATTGTTGTGATTTGTCATGTGTATACATTAAAAGTGATTTTGTAAGTGGGCCATGTTGCTAATGGAAAATAGATTGGGTTACATATTTGAAATAACCACATATAACATCGAAAACTAGCTTGTTTTGTTTATTTCAACGTTTGGGCGAATCATAAATCAATAGTGTTTAGTTTGACAGTGGACAAATTACTATATTTTTTAAACTGTTAAATATGTTTTTCAATATGAACTCTACAAGAATATTGCTCACGAGTACAGATATTGATGAGATAATAATTGCTGGGTGTTCTAATAGATTTGATTAGCTTCTAAATGTAATAGCCTTAGTCGGTGGCCGGTTGCCTTTCTACATTCAGAACTTAACTCACAACAACGTCAAATAAAGATTTCGAATTTCATATATTTTATTTAAAAACTTTTTTCCGTTAAATATATTTTCTCAGCCCTTAAATCTTGGACTTTAAAACATACGGGCATGCTGCAAAATCTTACCGAAAACGGCATATTATTATTAAACAAATAAAAACCATTAACAAACCATTGATTACTTTTGATCGTATGCAAAATTTGCGTTTGAAATATTGTTGTGAAGTAATAAAATACAGTTTTCACAATGATATAATATTGGTGATATTTTTGCGCCAAAAAGTTTGAGCAGCTTAACATTAAAGTAAATTAATTAATTAAAATTAAACCTTTAATAATGTAACATAAATGAAAATTTGAACAGTGAATCGATGAAATAAAAACCCACTATGGTAAGAATTTATATTTGTTTATTAACAATATTTCAACACAAGCTAAAAAGTAGTTGAAACTTATCAGAAGGACTTTGATTTACTAATCATTTTAGTTTATAACTGTTCAGTGCAACTTTGCTAGATTTTTGAAATTGTGAAATGAACAAATTTAATTATTAAGAGGGTTTGGTGAGTAAAAATCTCAGTATTGTAATGTTTTTGGTTAAATAAGAAGATTATGAACATCTGTAAAAACTAAGCCGCTGCTAGATGATGATTTTCGCCGTAAATCTTCAAAATTTACGGCTCAACATAAACTGATTTCATTATGGGTATAAAAACAAGAAGAAAAACGTTTATTTATATATTTTTGTTGGAATTCATTGTTTTAATAATAGAATCCGTCCAGGGAAATTTACTTTAAAGTTTTTAATTTTGTTTTTGAAATGAAAGAGGACATATTCTTTTGAAATTCATAACTGCGTTTCATGAGTTTTTTTTAACAAAGAAATTCTGTTATAATTTTGGACTTACTTTTATAGAAGAATTGTATCGTCAGGCGATCAGGTAACTCCGGTCCCGTAGGAATCCAACTATACGATAATTAGTACACACACTAGCACAACAAAATTACACTAAAATTTGACGTATAAAAGTGAATAAATAAGTCTTGAAACTTCTCCTTCACAAGACACAGATTTTTTTTCTTTTCCAAAAAACTTAACCTACAAGGCCAAAATGGTATGAACACATAATCAGTCGATACTATATATGCTGCGTATCAAGTCAAGTACTTTTGTCGCCGGGCTTTCGAAACTGCTGATTGTCACTACAACTAGGGGGGGTTGGGTTTTCAAGTGACCATTTCTGAAAGGGAGGAAGGCACGAAGTGAGTTGATAGGCCGTGGCTTGTTCTCTATCCCGAATCCCCACTCTGACGGCCACCAAAGCCCCTCTTCCCTGCATTTCACTTGATACAAATATAATCGACTTTCCCTTAAACACCCCATACGAAATGGGCGTAGAGCCCAAGCAACTTTCAAAGTCGAGCCTCCCGGAAAAGTTGTTACGGGTCTTTGAACAGCCGAAAACGTAATGGAATGTCAGAGGCATAAGTACTTCCTTGGTGTACTTTTTCCTTTTGACGACTGATTAAAATAATATTTTCCCACATTTAAGTGAAGTACAACATTATTGAACAAGATAATCTAATACGAACGTCTGAAAACGTAAAAGACAAAAAGGCATAAGTACTTCCTTATGTACTTTTCTTTTTGACAAAAATTAATTAAAATTTTATTGCACTTCTTAATTAAAATGCATATATAACTTTTGGATTAATGTTTGCTTAAGAAAATTTAGCATTTATTAATCATCATGATCATTGACTTGCTCCATGCTTATAACATACTTAAATTTCAGGAGTTTATAATATTGCTTCTCTCTTTAAAATAACCTGCAATATTTAATGAGAGTAACATAATAATTGCAAAATTGACATACATAAATTTTTCATAACTGACAAGAGGAGGCTACGGACGTGGGATTACTCGTTTTAATGACGCTTTTTTGCTCTAGGTGGAATAATATTCGACTCGTCTCATAACGTTCTTGCCAATGAGCCCTTTCTGCCTTTCTAGTGCATGTATTTCGAAGTTATTACATATACGTGTCTTTTAGTGGTCGTTATTCAATAAGTTGAAGTAGTGAGGAACGGTCAAAAATGAAGTATTTTAGAACAACTTTTTTTTTCAACGTTTCGACCCTAATTCGGTTCATCTTTAGAGCCTAGGTGAATTACAAAGCATATGTTGAATAGCTTTTACCACGCGGGACTCTGTTTTAATGTACCTTTCTAATGCGATCCAGAGTTGTTATATGGCATTTTAACTAATGTCTCGTTTCTCAAATTGTTCTCTTCCACATTTCACTTCGGTCTATATGGGCTAAAAAATTGTCTATATCTACTTAGAGATGGAATTTAAAAAAAATCCTTTCTTAGCGGCTAGACATGTCATTATAGGAATGCACTGTCGAAATTTCAGCCCTTTCAATCCAGCGGTTTAATCTGTGCGTTGTCCCATCAGTCCATAGGATGTATGGAAAAACGATTTCTTCAGCCTCCCAAATCGATATTTGTGCAAGGTTCGTTAGACGCCTGTCATAATCAGGAACCCGAAGCCCCTGGGCAAGATGAGAGCGATATGGCTTAAAATTGTAACTCCGAAGTCCATCTCTAATTTTGATTTTTGAAAAACCTAAAACCCTTCCAACATTTCGAAGAGTGGAATTAGGATTTTCGCGATCATCAGTAACATATTCAGCTCCTCTGTTTGTTGCCTGTCAGTCAGTCAAGGAACTGTTTATATATATATATATATATATACA